GACAGATTTAAAGTATAACTAAAGGCAATGTCACCAGAAATGAAATTGAGCATAGACTTGGATTTTGAGTTGCCACCAAAACAAGAATGAGGACACTTATTCCTCTGACAACTCTCTATAAGGGGATTTCCCTTACATTGGAAATATATCCTCTCACATCTATTGAGTCTACAGGACAGACAGAAATTTCCCTAATGAAACACAGATGACAAAAACAGATGAAAAAAAAAATTACCCTTCCTTTCTCTATCCAAAATAAAAAAAAAACATAAACATACTTTAACTGTAAGCACAGTTAAAAAAAAATACAATTTTACATTTTCATGTTTGTCATTATGACACAGCACACCACAACTGCTCGTGCGCTGTGGTGTACTGCAACACATGTTCATCATGCATGCGAATTTCCAAATGGACAGAATACATCGTGTTTGTTGGGCAGCAGGTTTTTTTTTTTGTGGGTCAGCATTCTTCTTGATTGACGTTGGATCTACTTCAGTGGACATTTATGGGGGGTTTTTTAAATAAAGGACTAGTCAAAAACTGTGTATGTTTGTTTTTTTACCTTTGACACTTTTTTTCTGTGAATGAGTAGGGGTTCTATGTATGTTCACATGGGGGGTGGCTGACTCTGGGGCCCGTTTTGTTAACAGGGCTTCCGGATTATTACAAGCCCCCCTGCAAACCCCCACAACCATCACCTAGGGTTGTGGGGAAGATGCCCTTGATCCCATCTACACAGATACAAGGTGCTTTGAGGGGGAGCTCCCACTCCCCCAAAGCACTCCCCCATGCTGAAGACATGTAGCCTGGTATGGTTCAGGAGGGAGAGAATTCAGTCCTCCCTCCTTTCCTGGTCTGCTGGGCTGCATGCTTGTATAAGGGTCTGGTATGGATTTGGAGGGGGCAAGCCATTTTGTTTTTATAATTGTGGCTGATGTTCCCCTCGAAATCCATAACAGACCTAAAGAGCCTGGTATGGATTGGGGGAACCCCCATGCTGTGTTTTTTTTTTACCTGGAACTTCTTTTGTTTACATTCTGCTGTCAGCGGGTAATCCTGCTAACAGCATACGAATCATGATGTTACCTATCAACCAGTGCTATTCTGAATGAAGCCAAATGAATGTCAAAGATACGAGAAAATAGGTCCAATAAAAAATGCTTCCAAAAACAAATTCTTCAATTAAGAAATGGATCCCAAAACAATATGAAATGAAATTTTCTGGTGTATACATGTCTATTCAGTAGTAGTGAATCAATAGCTGTCATTTAAAACACACAGACCAGGAAGATTCACCTGCAGTGAATATTTGGTAAATTTCAGATTTACTGCTTTATAATTATACTCCACAGAATTTTTGCTGCAGATATCACTTTACATTTGGTATTTCTGAAATCTATGCTTTTCTTGTTGTTTCTCCTATTGAACAGATCTACAGGCAGGTGCCCATCTGAACTTGGGACTCAATGACATAATTGCAGAAACCATCACATGACAACCTATAATCTTACTTGTCATATTTGATTTGAGAGTTTCTATCCACAGTTACTATGCCTCAAGCAGGCCATAGACAAGTCGAAAAACTAATAGAATTCATGTTGATTGTTGAATTGTTAATTTTTTGCATCATTGGTGTGTCAGCTGAGACAAATAATTTTCATTCTGCAATCAAAAGTGTCTGATCCAACATGTTTTTTTTTTTTTTTTTTTTAAATTGAAACATTTTAAGGCGCAATCGAATGATCTATTTTCATTTTTCAGTCGTCAGAACTTTCGTTTTTTGACTCATCTATGGCCTGCCTTAAGCCTAGTATACACAAAGAGAAACTCCGCTTTCAAAGCTATCATCCGATAATCTGATCATTAGTGCACAGCTTTCAAGAGCCGATCATGACAGTTCATGCAAAATTATCCAAAGGAACAAGCACAAAAATCTTTCTCGTGTGATACCACAATGAACAATTTTCATTTTATCAGTACAGTATTCGTCTAAAAAAAATTGAGGGACCAAGACTGTGCATGCTCAGAAATAAAAGAATACATTACAATACAATACATTACATCATTTCCAAACTATTCTGTATTATGAGAATTTTCACATCTTTAGTAACCTCCTCATTTTCAATATGAGACTTGCATGCAACAAAAAACAGACGCTGTCAATTGTCCAATATCCTTTAGATTGTAAGCTCCATGAACAGGGTCCTCATATTCCTTCTGTACTGAAATGTATTGTAATTGTACTGTCTCTCTTATATTGTAAAGCGCTGCGCAAACTGTTGGCACTATTTAAATCCTGTATTATAATAATAATAATATTCTCATTGTGTGTACAAGGCCTAAGAGGGCTTGTGATTCTCATTGTTCACAGAAATAAGGTGTGTAAGCCACCCTCTGAGGAATCAGGGTGTCCAGAGTCAATGGCCAATGGGCTGAACTCCTTCTACCTGTTGTATTTCTGCTCACATGTACAGGTCTATGTTTTTTATTCATATATTTAAAACATATATACATATTTGTCAAACATATATGCTTGCTTGTGTCTGTTGTATGATTTTGCAATTTTTTAACAAGATACACGGTTTCATTATCCATTGCACAGAAGGACAAAGAAACAGTTAATAATTTTATCTCTGGTGACATTTTCATGGAGCAGCTTTGTTAATTAAACCACATCCTGTTCATAAAAGTTAACAGGGTAGTAGGTCAGGAGGGGAACTACAAAAAAAATAGTGAACAAGCAAACAAAATAAATTGAAAGGCTGACATTAATAAATATTACACGAGGCTTCAGGCTAGCACAGTGATTGCCATTTAACATGGTCGTCTCTCAGATTACTCACTCCTGTCGTTTAGCTGGCAATAAATCTCAGGTCTTGCATACTTTCACCTGTCAATTAAGGTCTATGCACTGTCTTTCACATTTTCACAGAAAACTGAGAACGTCTTGAAAAAATGTAGGACACATCCAGACATTTTGCTAAAAAAGGACTGTGCCAAATTTGCACATAGGATGGACCAATCATTGCAACCCCCAGGAATAAAACTTGTATTAGTATAGTATATCCCAGGCAACTATTAAATAGAGTTTCTTTTCCAATAAGTGACAAATGTGGCTTCCTACTATCAGTTATAATTGAACTGTATTATATAGCATGGTATATTATAAAATAGAAGATGAAGAAACATACACTTTTCCTTGATTGTAGGTTTAGCTATCAGCACAAAAGCATTTAAATCACAACATCTAACAATTGAACACTTGTAGGGTTAAGCTTTATGATAGGCCATAAAAGTATACATAAATAAAATCTGGTGCACACGTTTTGGCTCTTTATAAGACTGGAAAAAGGCTCCAGAGGATGATAATATATTGGACAAGCAGAAAGCAAAATTCCTTTTGATTTGGGCTCCCTTGGGACCAAGGATTTCTGACAAAATTGACAAGTTTACTAAAACTGGTGCAATGAGAATCTGGTGCAGCTGTGCATGATAGCCAATCAGCTTCTAGCTTAAGTTTGTTCAATTAAGTTTTGGCAATAAAACCTGGAAGCTAATTGGTTTCTGTGCAGAGCTGCACCAGATTTTACATAGCAGAAAGGAACCATGGGATACCTAGTCCTTATCAATTGAAAGTAATCACCAGAGGAAAAGCTCCAGAATGTTGCAAAAAGAGTTGACCAGTAGATAGGTAGTACTCACAATATGAAAGTAGATTTTCATATAAGCTTATATTGTATTGTCAAATATAACTATTGTTTATATTTTTATTACATTGATTATGCTATTAAACTAAAGGGTATGCTGTGATCATGTAACTCCTTTTACCAAGACAGGGTGCTAATCAGGCTGAATGGCTAAATTACAATTTAGTCACAATTATGTTGGATTTACACCTGTAGACATATAAAAGTGATCTGAAAACCCTAAAGAAGGCACTGGCAAGTGGACTTATGTGCCATATTTATATGTGCCAGTTATTAATAAACTTTATTTATTATCAAATAATCTGTTTTGCCTGTATTTCCCCTTTAAACCATATAGAACAGGTTATATAAACATACCAATACACATGACAAATATAGCGGCAGATTGGGTCATTTAGGGTTATGCTTGAGGTGCTAATTACATGAATAGAAAAACAACCCTGCAATTTGCAGCAAAGAAAACATTTCCTTTTTACCAATATGTGAGTTGTCTATTCAGACAGCATGTACCCAGGGGCGGACTGACCATTTGGAAACTCAGGCACTGCCCGAGGGCCCGGGGTCAGTAAGGGGCCCCATGAGATGCCCCTGGTACCGTTTTCATAGGCTTTTTTGAGTTTGGGCAAGGACACAGGGGCCCCATGATCCCCTATTGCCCGGGGGCTCCATGAGTTGTCAGTCCGCCCCTGCATGTACCTATACATTATATGCACAGTGGACATCACTGGCAGCACTCTTATTCTGGGGAAATATTGTCTGTCATCTGTAGGAATCCAATGTGGCCAGTTCTCCAAACTCCACCATGATCTGTAAAGCAACATTGTTAATGAATTCTGAAGATGTCCATAGATATCCTAATTGTGTCACCTGATCGTACAGAGATTGTAAGCATTGAGAGACAATTCTCTAATAATCAAGGGTTCTGAATCTGGCCGAAGACTTTGGGTGGCAGTGGGGTAATGGTCCAAACACAAATGTTTATCAGGCATGCTTGTTTATGCTTAGCAAAGGTCAGTCAACTAAAGCCTAGTACATACGATCAGAAAATCGTCCAAAAAATACCGCTTTCAAAGCAATCATTCAATAATCTGACGCTTTCATCCGAAACTATTTGAAAGGACAAGCATGAAACTTTTTCTCGTATGATACCAGAATGTACAATTTTTGTTTAACTACCTCCCGCCCGCCATATAAGGCAATGACGGGCGCAAGGCAGTTCTCTCGTCCTCCCATTCTAACTGCGCATGCGCGGCTCCAGGAGCGCGCAGCACGGCAATCGGCGGGGCGCTGTGTCCCTCGGACACAGCGGATCACCGATCAATGAAAAGAGCCGAAGATTTCGGCCCAGCCATGTGATCAGCTGTGTCCACTCACAGCTGATCTAATGTAAATAAAGAAATGCCGGTTATCGGCATTTCTCTCCTCACAAGCTGTCACGCTGAATGCTCGAGAGGAGAGGAGAGCCGGTAATCAGCATTCCTCAGAGGGGACATGTCCACTGATCATCAGGACACTGATGATCAGTGTGCCCTGATGATCAGTGTAGCCCCAGCAGTGCCACCTGTCAGTGTCCATCAATGCCAGCTGTCAGTGCTCATCGGTGCCACCTGCCAGTGCCCATCAGTGCCACATCAATGCTACATATCAGTGCCTACCAGTGCACATCAATGCTACATATCAGTGCTCATCTGAGCTGCCTTTCAGTCTCACCTATCAGTGCCAGTCAGTGCCACCTATCAATGCCAGTCAGTGCCACCTATCAGTGCTGCCACTCAGTGCCATCTATCAGTGCCAGTCAGTGCTGACTATCAGTGCGCATCAGTGCCGCCTATCAGTGCCCATCAGTGCTGCCTATCAGTGCCACCTAACAGTGCCAGTCAGTGCCACCTAACAGTGCCAGTCAGTGCCGCCTATCAGTGCCAGTCAGTACCGTCTATCAGTGCCATATATGAGTGCTGCCTTTCAGTGCCCATCAATGATGCCTGTCAATGCCCATCAGTGCCACCTACCAGTGCCTCCTCATCAGTGTCACCTATCAGTGCCCATCAGTGCCACCTATCAGTGCCCATCACTGCAGCCTCATTAGCGCATATCAGTGAAGGAGAAAAATCACTTATTTACAAAATTTTAAAACAAAAAATAAGAAAAAACTATTTTTTTCTTTCAAAATTTTCAGTTGTTTTTGGTTTGTTTAGCAAAAAATAAAAATACCAGAGGTGATTAAATACCACCAAAAGAAAGCTCTATCTGTCTAAAAAAAATGATAAAAATTTCATATGGGTACAGTGTTGTATGACCGCGCAATTGTCAGTCAAAGTATGACAGCAGTGAAAGCTGAAAATTGGCCTGGGCAGGAAGGGGGTATAAGTGCCCAGTAGGCTAGTGGTTAATCAGTACAGTTTTTGTCTAAAAATACAATACAAATACATAACATCACTTCTGAATTTTTATTGTGTCGTACAAGAATTTTTGTAATTTTAGTAACCTCTTCACTTTCAATATGAGACTAGCATGCAAAAAAAAAAAAAATGATGATCATTCATCCAATATTCTCATCATGTGTTTGGGGCTTAAGGGTCTCTCCATTATATGTGAAAATCTCCACTTGATGCACTAAAATCAAAGGGACATCATAGGCCTATCAGCCCACAATCTATGGCTGGCTGTAATAAGACATAATACCACTGTATATATATATATATTTTGACCAGAATTTAGGGAGTATGTGCAAGGAATAATCTGTTCTTGATCCATGGACAATAGAAAACTAGGAATTTAGCAGTATACAGTGATACCAGATAACATATGTGTCCATTGTGTCCCTGCAGTTTAGTATTTGTTTACAAGCAGTAGGATATCAACAGTGTATATAGGATACAATAAGATTGGAATTCACTTTACTGGGAAGAAGAATGTTTATTTTCACAGAGGGTGGGCTGTTGTGTCCTCTTACCAAGGTGAAAAATGTTTAGAATGAATGACTTGGAAAGCCTACTGTTATTTCTTTTTCATACATATATTTAGTCTTGCTTAACTTTTTAGGGGATTGTTCATAGTGACATTTTTCTTTTTAATTTTGCACATTTCCAAATGCTAGCACATTATATTAAACAGCTTCCCTGTAGACATTAGGCAAATGAAACCCAACTCTGTAGGCTTGCAAACTATCTATATAATTGTTAATGTTCCATAGCTGAGAAAACAACCAGTCAGGACAGAAGCCAAACATCTAAACAATAAAGGTCACAACTAAAACAGGCAAGCATTTTATGGATGATGTCTATTCATTTATATACCACTGGAAATTTTCAGTCTCTATTCATGCAGAAACCAACATTGAAAAGTGCTAATTAAGGTTCCAGAAAGTTTTTAGAAAGACAAACACCAGAAAGCACACAAACCTATACCTAGTATAGGAAAATGAACCCAGGACCTCTAAGCTGCAAGCCGGAAGGCTACTATTCCGGCTTAGTGCAGACAATGAGCAAATGAACATTCTAGCTGTGCAGTAACATTTGTAATATACAACTCAAAGCCCTGGTATTTTTATAAATTTTCTTTTACTTGTCTGTTGCAAGTGGCTGTGTTACAAGCTGTAATTTATTTAAACTGTACTTGCACATATCCTGGAAGGACAAGCGTTCATACAAATACTACAGAGAATATGTGAAGATTCTTCACTTTGATCTGTCCATGGGTTCCATAAAGAAGAGTGATATTGGTATCCATTAGGGTAATCCTGAAATCAAAAATTTGCTAGTTTGAAATGTCCTACTTGGCTTCCAAGCTGTGTAAAGCCAGCCATAGATGGACTGAATCTTGACTAGTTCCGCAGGGACTGTCCGAGATTCGATCAATCCATGGGCAGGCTGATTGTACCCAAGTTGCTTCATCGATCAGAGCAAGTGTAAGGGGGCACTTGATGTAAGAGGGCATAGGTTCTGTTTAACCACCCTAATCCAATGACAGCTCTATAAATAATAGTGTTTCCCAAGTCTTGACACTGTGTGACAGACTGTCATTGACTCACACACAGTGTTGTCATTATGCCCTTTGACTTTTTTTACTGCACCCCCAGATTGATCAGTGGCTCCACTGGCATTGATCAGTGGCTCCACTGATCAATCTGCCAGTCTGATGCAGACAGTTGATGTAAGGAGGCACCCTGGTCAGAACAAACCATGTAAGGGGGCACCCTGATGGGGACACCTGATGTAAGGGGGCACTCTGATGGGAATATGATGTAAAGGGGGACTCAGATGAGTAGTCAAGATGTAAAGAAGGACTCTCATAGGGATATTTGATATAAGGGGCACAGGTTCTGTTTAACCACCCTAATCTAATGACAACCCAATATATAATAGTGTTTCCCAAGTCATGACACTGTGTGACAGACTGTCATTGACTCACATACAGTGTTGACATTATGCCCTTTGACTTTTTTTACTTCACCCCCAGATCAAATAGGCTAGATCTGGTCCTGTCAGCTACGCCCTTTGTTCTTTATTTCTATACATGTCAGGCCCCATTCACACCTAAGTTTGCTCCAAAAAACCCAACCTGTAAAATCCTATGTATGGCTATTGCAGCTTTTTCCATATAGGTGACTGTAGTTCAATGCTGGACATGCCAATCAACCACTTTTGAGGCATACAATAAATGAACACAACCTTTGCACACATATATATAAGAATAATATAGAGGAGTTCCCCTATTGAAAAGCAATAGACTGGCACACAATGAGTACATTCAGGGCCAGATTTCCAATTAGGCACTGTAGGCATGTGCCTACAGGTGCCCTTCAAGAGGGGTGCCCATCTCTATGAGCAGGGCCGCCGATACGGGGTCTCCCTCTCTCTTCCTTTTACACTAGCACCCCACAGTGCAAGGGAAACTCTGATGTAAAAGTGAACACTGCGGACCCTGATAAAAAGGGGAATGCTGCTGACTGTGATGTAAGGGGGGAGGGCTTTGGTAACCAAAGACCACCTTATATCAAAGATCCCCTTTATATCAAAGTCTGCAGCATTCCCCTTTACACATATTAAAATATTTATCTTAAAACTTTTTATCATGAAAAAAAAAGGCAGTCTTACTGTCATTTTGTTTTTTTGGGGGGGGGGGCTTCAGAATTCTCTGCCTATAGGTTCCTGAGATGTAAATCCAGCCCTGATTCCAACCACATTGGGGGAACAGTCTGTAGGCATCTTTATAGTCAGTATAGTATCACATTTGACTGATAACTTTCTGATGATATAATTTTGTTGCATAATTTTGAACGTTAAGAAGTATACGAACAAGCATTAAGATGATACACAGATTCTGGTGAATGATTAATATACGCTCCCAGAATGGCAATCCTGTGGGATGTGGAGCTTTAGCCCTCCAGCAGTTCAGTGATAAATGGTTAGGTAACAACAAAACTTTATGATGAACACTCTTGGTTTAAAAGAATCATAAAACCTTTAATCTTTATGGTACACTGTTTAGTTGAAAAAAGCAGAGACCTGCTATTTGTGTTCTGTTGTATCAATGGTTTCCTCAGATATATTGCCATCCTTAAAATATGTACCACTGGACAATTTTCAGTTAATAGACGAAACAAGAAACATGTGTACTTGACAGTCTGTATTTTACAGACCCCACTCTGGACTTCAGGGAGGATTTCAAGTTAAAATATTATATGGTTTAATGTCTCCATCTGGAATAGTAAAGTTCAACCCATTTGCCTGTAGGGAAAATTCTTTGTTGCAGACTCAGCTCCATACAGTGTTGTCTGATGTATTGTTTTTAGGAGCTTTAATTAATCAAGCCTGTTACAGGGATAAGGGACTTGTGGTCTGACAGTCTCATTCCAATAGCTCCTACTACACAATAAATGCATCTTTCTGATAAAAATAAAACTGAACTTCTTACATCAACTTTAACCTGACTCAGCTGAAGTTTTGATGAAGACAGACTGCCAATAAATGACATCTGGAAGAAATGTTTATACCAGGGCGTCTGGTAAAAAACATCAATAACGTAGTTAATTTACTAAATGTAATTTTTACTGTAACTTATGTTTGTACCTGGATTTACCTTGGTATCAGCTTCTTGTAATCCCCTGTACAGCCGCACACAATGGGAAATGAATGGTAAGCCTAGAAACTATCAGATCTGTTGGATACATATTTCCAAACAAAAAACATGCTGACAAGAGAGAGTAGAGGGATGACCTCATCATTCTGTTTCTGCTCCTGCTATTTCTCTACCCAGTCATAACCTGCAGTTAGGGAAGCTACTTAGCTGTTTAAGTTCAACTCCAGCTTATTTCATTTATTGAAAAAACTTGCATCCTTACCTTTTCCCCTGAAATCTTCAGTCTGGTAACGTGAGATTACAGGTTCTTTTCCTTCTGGGTCCTAAATGCACAGCGCACAATGTAATGACGTTGTTTTGTTCCCTGAAGAATTCTCTTTTGGGTCCAGGTTGGCTTAATCATGGAGGGCTCACATCATGGAGCCCTGCATAGACCCCAAGGAGGTCTATGGAGGGCTCACAGGAAGTTGGTTAAATGATTCTGCATGTCATTCAACCTGTAAGAGGACTGAAGCAGTGGGTCTTTGGGGGGCAGAACTGGGGACAGAGCAAGCATTGCATCCAGGGTTGTTGTTTTTGTTTCCAGATGCTGTCCCACTATTTTTTTCTAAATCAGCAAAGATGGACTTTGGCTTTGTAAAAACAGTTGAGATTATCAATCTTTCTGTGCT